GGCGACCTTCGACAAAGGCACGGTTTGTTCGGCTTGGAACTACTCCGCCAGCAGATTAGTCACTGGTTCGGCGGACGGAACCGTCGTCATCTTCGATTCTCTCGACCCTTCTTCCTCATCCACATCCTTAACTCGCACTTCAAACTTCAAGGTTTTTTAGTTTCACTGCTTTCTTTTATTTCAGTTGGACTTCATTATCCTAGGTCTAATCCATGGTTTCTTAGAGCTAATCTTACTTCTAAATTATTGTTAGTTTACGTTTACAAAATGGACAAACGTCTTGAGATTTTGGAGATTTATCGGTCATGTTATTTTAATTTATTGCTTAGATTAGACTTCATGGAGAATTTATATAAATTTTGAATTCACTTGTCAAGAGAGAGTGAAAAGTAAGAGTGGAGGGGGTCAAGTGCAATGCGAGTGAGTTTTTGGGGCGAAGGAGTGAAATTGGGTTATTGACGGCAAGAGGAGAAAATTGATGATATGCGACTCATTTTCATCATTGCATGCTATGCTGAAATTGAGTCACATTACAATTTTAACAAGACAATAACTAATTCAAAGCTAGTAGAGGCAAAAGCGAGGGAAATATTCAAAGCCAACCAGGAAGTTTGTTCTCATCCTTCATTGGATGGCTTATGTTTCATGTTTTTTCTCGATGAAGGCAAGGGCTTTAAGCTCTTAAAAAATTTGAAGCTGGAAAGGGCTATGTGAACTTAGAAGATCATATCTGGCATAGAAATTAAATAGACAGAAATTACCGAAAGATTCATTAACGTTAAGCGTCTGCTAACACTTTCAAGGCTAGTAGGTGCATTTTGAGTTCTTATTGGGGTCTCTCTCTTTGAGACCTTGGTTTGTTAAACGTTGTTCCAGAAAAGCTTTTAATGAGTGAAGTTTGCTCGAGCCTAAACCAGGTGAAACCATCTTTGTAGGCTCATGAGGCTGCAATATTTAAGATTGTTTGGGTCCCTCCAGAGTATGGTGATTCTATTGCATGCATTTGTTCAGATGGAAGTTCGTCATTGTGGGAGGAGGTTGTTGAAGGTAATCTTTTGGTTTTTGTTGACCCCGGGTTCTCTCTCAAATTTTATTGTTACGTTAGCTACGTCTATTTCTTACATCTTATCTTCCCCTTTACTTGGCCCAAGAGCATGGTACATAAACTATAAACCCTCATTTGACTAGAATTTGAAGCGTCCTAATCATTGTATAAATCTATTGCCTGTTGCTGCTTTCTAGATGCCCAGCCTCTGCAGTGGAAGCTATCCAAACACTTCAAAAGTAATTCATCTCAAATCATAGACATCCAATTTGGAAATTCCTCTTCTGGTCTGAAAATGGTAAATGACAATATTTCTTCTGATTCTCTTGCGAGATATATATCCTTGTGCTGTTACTGGTGGATGATTCCTGTGTTTTTTGCTACTTCTGAATTGCCTTTGATTTTTAACGCATTCAATTAGTTCATTTTTATTACTCTGGAACTTAACATATCATTATTTCCCCCTCAATAATGAAGTACTATAAGGATTTATTTGGATATAAATGTGATAGTTGGGTCAAGAATAACTTTGGATGTCTAAAATACTTTCTCATTGTTTCATTTTTGTTGCATTTTGTTATTCATGAAAAAGTATTTCCTATTAATAAAAAAAAAAAAAAAACCCATTCACTCTTTTTTATGCCTTTTGTTTTTTTGTAGATTGCGGCATTTTCTGATGGCAATTTAAAAGTTTATGAGCTTATGGATCCTTTGGATTTGAAGAGTTGGCAACTTCAGGTGATCCATCTTTTAATCTTTTTTCATGTTCTCTAATTTTGTTAGACTTCAGAAGTTATCATTTGAATGGCTTATTCCATTATGATCTTGCAATCTGAGGAAAGATGTACTGTAATTCGTTTGAACATTGATCGGACTTCAATCAATAGGATTTCCTCTTTTATAATAAAGGAAACTGACCTTTAGATTTCCTTTATTTCAAAATTATCCATCTTTTTAACTATTGATGGGTCACATCTATATTCCAATGTTCTAATGTTACTATATAATTGGACATGGATATTTGTGTACTGCTCCTGTGAATTGCTCATTATTCTTTGTGTTACGGTTCTACCGCTATGTCATAGCTTTCTTATGTCAACAGTCTATTAAACCATTCTTGTGGGGATGCTTGAATTTTGACACCACATCCTTTCTCTTTCGTTGTTGGAGGATTGTTTTCAAAGAATATGGAGATCTGGAATATATTGAAAAAACAACAATCTTCTTGCTCCAGTCACTTCATCTTCCTCCCCTTGTCTCTCTTTATAAAGGATAAAAGTAAAAAATAAAAAATAAAAAAGTGGTGTGTGCGGGCACACAAACTCTTCTGAAAGGAAATATTTAGTTTGGGTCCTTTACCTTCACGAAGGCTTGTTATTGACATATGAAGAGTCTCAAGGGAAGCACATCGTGAACGGCTGGCTAGTTTTATGATGTTATCCAGAAACCCGGATGAGCAACATCTGCTGAATTTTAGGAATTTAAAAGCATCTTTATTTCTTTCATTTTGGGTTAAATGAGGATCGTGATGATTTATCACCATAGATCCTCGGATCCAAGGAAAGCGCCTATTCATTTTTATTTGACAATGTTTTCTTCATTGCTCTTTCTTGGTGTAAATTGAATCCTCTATTTCTTTTGTATAGTTTTTTTATTTTTTTATTATTTTATTTTATATACACACATCAATGATATCCCACTCCCCCCCACCCCCTCCAAAAAAAAAAAAAAAAAAAA